ATATATATAAGGTCTTCTGTTCATCGTGAGGTGATTCAAGTTGTAAAAATCTTAACCATTTGCTGAGTGGCTGCAGTGTGAGTATGGAAGTACCATTTTAATTTTTACCACATTTTTGTCTAAGGTAGCAATTGATGCCTTCTTTCCATTTCATTAGCTAGGTACTTTAACATGTCACGTCACTGTTAGAATCAATTAATGGGCTTTCCATTACGAATGAGTGGGTTTATAGCCTTATGTTTTTAACAAGTAAAATTGTTTAACATCCTGTTACTAGTTTTCTGATTTATCTTAGAAGTCCTTTAAGTTAATCTTAACATATAAAAAACACATTTTTTATAGCCATTTTTTCAGAGTTAAGAGACTTTTATCTAGTGCCTTTGGAACTTTGCAGCATCTGAGGAAGGTCGTCTTGGTTATCAAATGTGGGCGTCTTGAATCTTGATAGGTTCTTTCTTTGTGTGAATTGTAAGCTGTGACTGGTAACAGTTTCATAGAATTATAATTGAGAAAATTGGGAAGGCCAAAAAGATTGAGAAACTCTTGTGATCCTATGTTTTGGGTTGGGGCATTTGACATTATTAAGTTGAGAATAGTTAGACTAACAGAGAATTTCAAGGTACTATTAAAGAACTTTAGTTAGTAATGATTTCTTGTCAGATTTGTATCTCACTTTGGCACATGGATCTTGAATTTCTTAGAATTGTCCAACAAGTTTGGGATTATATGTTACAGCTTTGAAATATAACTTGAAATATTTTGAAAGTCATGTATGATTGTCACATCATTATTCCTGTACAGAGAATATAATTCTGTGGTGAAGGTCACTCAGTGCAGTGAAATGAAGCAATGCTAATATTGTCTAGTCATTGACTCATTTTTTTCCAGTAACAATTGATACATATGGTATTTTGTCTTACCTAATATTTTCTTAAGCATTATTATGACTATAGAAAGCAACACAGATGTGGTTTACAATGATCTATCTTTAAGTTTTAAATTTAATTTTGTCTGTGGCTGCTATGTTTTTTGTAATTGAGGAATTAGTTTTCTAAACAAATCTTCAAAGGGAGTGCTTTAAGGTGGGGATTTAGCTGTAGTGCACGTGTGAATGCAGGCAGAAAAGGTGGGGAAGAGAGAAAAGTAAAGGCCTAAGGTGGCTTACATTTCCCCCTCATCCTCTTTTAATTCTTTGTAGAGTTTCTTTTTTGAAAACTCTTTCTAGCTTTTCAGTATCTTTATTGTCACTATCCTTTTTATACACATCCGATTAAAAAAAAATCTCTGGATTGTCTAGTTTCTGTACATGGTCAGTATTTGAAAGTGGGCTGCGGCTCAGGCCCAGGGCTCCCCTGGCGCAGGCGGCTGTCCCCGCCTCGGGCTTCACCTCCATCCACGGGTTGGTTTCCCAGGTTTTGGCCCTTCTCATTTAGAGGCCGGCTGTTCCTTTTTCCTTTTGCTTCAAGCAGCTTTACATCATCCCTGTTCTTTCTATTTTGGAAGTTTATTTTCTGATGGAAAGCTAAGTCGTTCTGTTCACATAAAAAAAGTTCTTGTTCATTTTTTATAGCAGGTTTAATGTTTTACTCATGATGAAAACTCTAGACTCACAGTCGGAGCACTGGAATGATTGGAATGAAGCGTTTTAGGGAAGGCAGCGCCCTGCCCGCGCCCCTGGGTCGTCGCACCGCTGTGCCCGAGCCGCGTGTGGGGCAGAGGGGTGCTCATTTCAGCCTCAGAGAGGGCGTGATTAGTTTCTCACTTTGCTTACCTGTTTACCCAGGAAGTACTAATTAAATATTTATTACGTGAGTTGAACTAGGATTTTGCTGATGGTGGTGGGGTATTTTGTCAAAAACTTTTGTTTTCCGCTTTTGGGTTTAGTGTTTAATTGGGACTACTTAGGGGTGATTTAATTGTAAATTCAGTAGGTAAAACACTCTCAAAAAGAGAATATTCTGGAAACCTAAAAATATAGCAGAGCAGTTTGTTAGATAATAACGAAAGAATTTCCTGGTAGAACAAGGTTACTTAAACGTTTTCTAGGATTCCAAATATGGTTATATAATCTCTGTCCATAGTAGTCTTTAAAATAAGATTATTTCTTCTTTTGAATATCGTACGGGTGGGTCCTTCAGAGACATATGCTCCTTTGTAGCATTCTGTGATTGTATAGGAATCAGAAAATTAAGTTTTATATTCATTTGACCAAAGTTTGTTATTCTCTATAGGAATATTTAGAATAGTGTAGGAATGAAGGACCATTTAACCACTGTCTCCTCCCGCTACTTAACTGATAATCTTTATTTGGGGTTAAGAATGTTCTAGTAGGTGGGCTTTTTTCCCCCTAGCTTTATTGAGGTACGATTTACATAAATATTGTGTAAGTTTAAGGCATATGGTGTTATGATTTGAAACAAATACATTGCAAATTGTTCGCCGCGGTAAGGTCAGTGCACACGTCCCTCACCTGGCGGGCTCCCCGTTTTGTGGTGGTGGTCAGGACGGTGAAGCTTTACTCCGCAGCAGCGTCAAGTGGGCGACACAGTGCTGAGAGCCTGAGTCCGGGGGCCTGGCACTAGATCTCCGCAGCAGGTGTTTTAACAGTAGTTGGGCATTTATATTTCTGCTTGTGTAAAAACTAATTATTAGAGATGATATATATATTTCATTTTCTCTAGTAGTTAGTCCTGTTGTAGCAATTGTAGCATTTGTGATCACATAATATTTTAAAAATAAAATTTGACTTGCTATTAATTTTTATAAAAGACATTTCATTATTCTCAAAATAAATCTTTTAAATAGTGTAGAAATAAACAGTTCACTCCCTTTTTCTTTTTTAAACTGTCACTCTATTTATAATTTTTATAATTAAGAATTTGCTAGCCATATTTGATAGGTTAACTAGAGATGGATTTTATATGTGTGTGGGTAAGCAAATATGTGTGTGTGTGTGTATATCATATATGTGTATGTGTATGGGTATATAAATGTCTCATATTTTAAAATTTCTTGTCATTTTCAAAACTGTAGGAATTACATGTAAAGAAAGGAACACAGTAACCTAAGTTGTATCTTAGGTTCTTTAGGACTTCTCATTTTTTTTTAAATACAGTAAATTTTAGGGGGATTGTATAAAAGTCATTATATTTTTTACAATAAATATTAGAAAAATTTTAAAAGAAAGATTGGCTTATACACTTTTTGTTAGATTTTAGTTTTCCCTTTTTATTCTAAAGAGTAAATAAATGCAAATTAAATTTTTGCTAAAGAATGAAAAAATTGTCTTTTATATGACATTCACATTTTTGTTACTTTCCTCTAGGCAGTGCTGTCATGTTAACTTGGGAATATAGAAGTATCTAGAGTACATTTACTATTTTGTAACACTTGTTTCACTGTGTGGGGTGTCTAATCCTGGAGTTTGAGAATGATATTTAAAGACCACTTTTCTTTTTCTCGTAGCCTCTCGAATTGCTTTGGCACTCATTAGATGAATGGCTAGTCCTAATAGCTACAGAACTGATGAAAAACAAAAAGGACTCCACAGATATCACTTCTATTTTACTCAAACAAAAAGGCCAAGATCAAGGTGCTGCTTCCATTCCTCCGTTTGAACCTCCAGGACCTGGAACTTACGAAAATCTCTCCCCTGGCACACGGGAATCTAAACCAGATGCTCTCGGAGGGAAACAGGAAGCCAGCGCAGACTGCCAGGATGTTATTTCTGTGACAGCTAACCGGCTTAGTGCTGTCATTCAAGCTTTCTACATGTGCTGTTCTTGTCAGATGCCTCCAGGGTAAGAAAGTTTCTGCTGATTATTTCCTTCTCTGATAGATGAAGAAAAGCTATGATTCATTTTGTAATTTTAGTAACAACTAATAATTTGTTCATTTTAGGTTCTAATCTGGTTTTGTTTTAGGATGTTTACTAGTCTAGAATTAGTACAAAATATTGGAGTTTTAAGCATTAGATCGGTTACTAATATGTACGATGGTGAATGTCACTTTATAAAGGATCACTTGATTGTGTATTCAAGGTGTATAGAGCAGAGATGCTTAAAATGTCAAGGTTTTTAAAAAGTCACCTGTTTATATCATCTGTTAATGAAAAGTTATGTATTTTTCCGTCTTATAAGTTGACTAGGCATGCCCCGGTCTCCTAAATTTATGAAGATGATCCAAAGCCAAATTCTTCTTTTTTTTCTATTTAGAAGCCAGTCCAATTCAATGCATTGTTATTAAATCTGCTGTATCACCAACTTCTCTGTGTTCTCATTGTTTTTTACCCCCTACAGGATGACTTCACCCCGTTTCATTGAATTTGTGTGCAAACATGATGAAGTTTTGAAATGCTTTGTTAATAGGTAAGGCTTTCTTAGGTTCATGGGCTGCCCTTGCAGCCTCTTCTTTCATTGCTTACAGTTTTCATCTCAACAGAAAAGTGTTACTTCTGTTACCATTCAAAAAATGCTTAATGACAAGTGAAAGTATAGTAGATGTGATTAATATGTATTTTTCTTGTTTCAGTATCTGTATATATAAATTTGCATTACTTATCCTTTTTGTCCATTTAAATGAAATATATTTTTCTTTTAGAAATCCCAAAATTATATTTGACCACTTTCACTTCCTCCTTGAATGTCCTGAATTGATGTCAAGATTCATGCATATCATAAAAGCACAGGTAGAAATCTCTCTTAATGTTTTTAGTCTAAGGAAAATAAATGTTTTTAATTTGATAACTTTTGGTGAAGTAACTACTGTACTTGAGATCTCGTGCTCTAAATGGCATGACATTATTCTTTGCTAGAGTATATGGAGTTACGTAATGTTACTTTAGTATGAGGAACAATTTTTTTCTTCAAGAAGAAAGTGATTACTATGTGTGAAGTCTTGCACAAAGACAACAGAACATGGTGCCACTTCCTGAGATGAGTTTTATGGGACACTAGTCATATAAGGTTATGGTCCTTGAGAAAAGGATTTTGGTTTCCAAAAACATTTGGGAAACATAATATACCCCCTTTTAGAGACTGATAAAGCGTATCAGCAGCTTGTTAGAGGCTTTGAGAAGCCCTTTGGTCAAAAAGTGATTTAACTTTGCTAATCCCCCAAACTTACTTGACCTGAGAACCTTTCCCCTGCCAGGGTTCATTCCACGTATCTCGTGTTTGGTGAAACGTGCTAGGGAAAAGCTTGCCATGCTACTTACTTTGGGCACATTTCCTACATCCTTTAGCCTTCGTTCCTTCATCTACAAAAATAGATAATGACAGCAACCTCATTAAACCTATTGTGAAGAACTTAAGTTTTAAATTGTGATGGTATGTTTGTTCAGTGAATCGTAGTTGTTTGGAGAAAGAAAACGTGTCGTTTCTCCAAGAGCATCTTAATTCAACTTAGTAATAAAAAGGAGGTAATAAATGTACTTATAGAATAGTAATTACAGTATTACCTGGTTCTTAGGAGTTAAGGGAGGAAGAGCTTACTCCTGGCTGGCTGTAGTCACGGGAAATTTCAAAGAGGTGTGGTGGAATTTAAGCTGTACCTTGAAAAACATTCAAAGTTTTGATAGGAATAAGTGAAAAAGATGAACATTCCAGCCAAGATATGGGCCAAGGCATATAGATGGAAAAGTGTATAAAACTACAGCGGCTGAAGCAGAATTCTGTGTAGGTGAGGAATGAGATGTAGTTTGGAGATGGTAGGTCGGAGTCCTGACTCGTCAGGCCTTGGTTGTCAGATTGGAAGCTCTTTGTTTGCTAGGCTGTCAGGAGCCGCTGGTAACTTCGCTTCAGGAGAATGATGTGATCCTGGCAAACCTTTAGGAAATTATTTGTCAGGAATGTAGGATAGAGCCGAGGCCATGGTTTGGTTAGGAGTCATAAGATAAATCCAAACAATGTTTTTGTTTTTATATGTCTTGGGGGATACTGATCCTTTCAGAATTTAAAGAAAACTGAGAACTAATTCTTACAAAGCAATTAACATGCATATAGGTATCCTTTGAGATCTGTGTAATAATGATAATGTAAAAGAAGATATTAATAATAAGTTATTGAATGCTAACTTCAGGTCAGTTTTCATGCATTTGCTTTATGTGAATTATTTTATTTTCATAGCAATCATGTGAGATGGGTAGTAAGATTCAGCTATTAAGTGAAAGAACCAGAATTTGAAAGTGTCTGGTTCTTAAGTTTGTTTCCTTCCTTCCTTCCCTCCCTCCCCCCTCCCCCAGGCTAGTACAGATAGGTGAGTATTTCATACGTACAGATTTATATGTAGTTTGTCCATGAAGACCTAACAGAGGTGAAAATGTTGTTACTACCTTAGAGGAGAATTTGGTTTAATTGAGAAACTTAAATAGTTGAAAAAATTTATTTCATTTTCTTAATCTACACAATGTGACTCCATTCAAGGGCAAATGAGATCATAGGTGAAAGAAGCTTTGAGCTTTTGAAAGAGGTAGTTTGCTATCTTTAATACTATCTCTGCTTTTCGCTCTCCTTTCCCTTTTTCCTTCCTGAATAGCTCAGTCAAGAAGCATGTTTTAGCTCTCCACCTTTTTGATCCCCTGAGGGGTTTTGTTGGCTGGCTAGGCTGAGGAAGGTGCCCACGTGCAGGGTGGTGGCCCGGGGTGGGGTTTGGGGGTTTGGGTGTGGTAAGGAGGGCGTCTGTGTGTGTGTGTGGAGGAGGGTCTCAGCATAGAGCATGTGAGGTGGGCGGTGTCCTGCGTGGATGGCGGTGACAGTTGCTCGGAGTAGTCTGACAGCCTCAGTCAGGTGGAGGGCATCTGTGTGGAGGAGGGTCCGTGCCGGCTGCCGGAGATCGGTCACATTCAGGGTGGGGTGGTTGGTCAAGTAAGTGTAAGAAAGATGATGGGCGCCTAGTTTCTCACGGTTGAAGAAAGAATTTACAAAGTAGAGGAAGATAGAATGAATTGTGTGCTGTTGGATTGGAATTAAAGATACTGGTGTGAATTCATAGTTTTCAAGGTATGTAGATATGGGAAACCTGGCACCCAGTTCTTGGTCTCTAAGTGCCATTCCCAGTGAACCAGCACTCACTGGGTAAGTGGCAAACTGCAGGGCTGGCTCAGGGAAGGTACCAGATGAGCTTGGAAAGTTGTTCAGAGAGTGGTGGGGTGCGTCAGAATACTCAGAACCAGCTTGAATGGACTCCACTGGCCAAATGTGGAACAATTGGAACATCAAAATAAATAATGATGGCACTAAAGTATAAATACAATTGGAATCCATGAGTCTGTACTATACAAGTTAATGAATAAATGGAAAGTTTGACGAGGGGTGGGTTGTTCTTATAGTGTCAGAGTCTCTGTACAGAACACCTAGTATGTACAAAGACTGGAAAGGGACCTTACGGGGGAGAAGCCTGGCAGTGATCAAAGCAGGCGTGTCAGTGGGCCCGCTGAAAGGGTGCTCTGAGAGGGTATCCCTGCAGATGTCCCTGCCAAACACGTGCACCCTGAATTTAATCATGAGAAGGTGTCAGACCAGCTCCACTTGAGGGAAATTCTGCAAAACAACTGATCTGTAGTCCTTGAAAGTATCAAAGTCATGAAAATTAAGAAAACACTGAGAACTGTGCCCGAGTGAAAGGGGACAGCTGAACGTGATCCATTCACCTTATGCTAAGGGGACATCATTAGGAAACGGGCAGAACTTGAAGTGGGGTCTAAGGATTGGCTGTGGTGCTATGTCAGTGTGAGTTCCTGGTTGTAATGGTAGTTACCCGGTAATGTAGGAGAATTCTCTGTTAGTAGGAAAGGCACATGGAAGAAAGACTTAGGGGTGACTGAACATCATCTCGGCAACTTTCACATTAGGGGGGAAAAACACAGCCTTTTCTCTATTGTGCTTAGAAGTTTCTGTATCTTGGAGGTTGTTCCAAAAAAAGAAAAAGAAAAAAGTAAACACAGAAACCACTGCCCCTGTGAAGGGACTGACTTCCTGTTGTGCTGGTGGTTCAGGTGGCCTGTAGGCAAAAGCCATTTCGTATCGCTGTGCAAGTGCTAGTAAGGAGGGCGTCTGAAATCAGTCCCGCTCTGTGACTTAGTTTATGGAAATGCAGGTACTCAAAGTGTCCATACAAAAACGTGCGCTTCAGCTGTGTGGGTGTGCACCGTGTGTGTGTGGCTGGTTCGATCTTACAGATGTCTTACTAGTATTTTGTATTTTGTAACATGTCTTTTGATTTACTTTAAAAAAATTGCTATTTCTTTTTGCTTACTGGTTCACATTTTGTAGATAAATAATTTAATGTTTAGTATGATAAGTAAGTTTACTGTCATTTTAAGTACTTATTCACAGTAATTTTAACTTTGACAGCAGAAGTAGGAACAGCATCTATTCATTGAGCATTCTGTTTCCACAAGATACTGAACCTCTTGGTGCTTTTTTCTCTTCTGTGAAATGGGGGTGATAAGAGTCCCTTTTTCATACAAGTGCTGTGAGGATCACGTGTGAACAGGCATGTAAAGTGCTTAAGACAGTACCTGACTTAGAAATGCTTTAATAAATGTTACCTAATTTATGGTTATTATGTTGTGTATTTGCCTTATTTTGTTTAATCTTCACAATTAGCCTTTGAAGTAGGTATTATTTCCCCTTTTTCACAGGTGGAAAACTATAGTTGTGAGAGGACTAGTAATTTCCCTGCGCTTACAAACCTAGTAGTCACAGAGCTGGGATTTTAAGCCATGTTTGTCGAACCTCAAAGCCCATATTTAAATAAATTATTTCCATGTAATTTTTTTTTTGTCTCTTACTAAAGGTTTAGGAATAATCAGCATTTTAAAATTTCAAGCACTTTACATTCTAGTCTTGTTTAGCAAATATGGAATATTCAGTCTATATGCCCAGCAGTAAATAGAGTAACAGCAATGCTTTATTCATAATGTGGACAACTATTGGGAGTATGGGCAGAATTACACACTTAGCTTTTTAAAAGGGAACATTACTCTTTTCTTACTGAAAGAGCAGATACTAGAAGACAGAAGTTAATCTCTTTACCATTTATCTTTATAATATTTTGATTATGGTTTGATAAAAAGTGATGAGTAAATCTTTTGAAGCAAAACTAGTAGTCAGTTTAGCTGTTATGAAAAAATTTACTGGTGTCCTAAAAAAATGCCCAGAAGATCACGTCTTCGTGGTGGTGGGTGTTGATCACGGCCGTCTCTGGGGACGGTGGCTCTTGCGGTATTATTGCACCACCCTACTTCTCCTTTGATTTTTTTCTAGCTGTGTGAGTCACTTGTTAAGCAAGTTCTCAGTCCTGACCTGTAGCCATAAACTTCCTCGTTCTTGGTTTTTGTTCCCTTATCTTTAATCTTTGGAACAAGGGACCTTAATTTGTCCTCAACTTCAGCTTTGTTCATGACTGTTTTCAGTGTCTCAGCCCCAACACATTCCAGTGTTCATTTCCAAGCCCTTAGTAGTTATATCCTAAATAACCTTAAATTCAGAATATGTGAAATCTCACTCATTATCTTTCCACTAGTGCTTTCCATGGGGGTAAATTGTGAGGGAAGGGTTTTTCGCCACTAAGGGGTTTCTGTTATTAAGCTCTATTCTTAGGGATTGTCTCTTACTGCTCGTCTTTATTCAGAGTGTTGTCGCGTAGGTTCACTCTGTGGTTACTCTTTTTATCATGACAGGACCT